ATTAAATGGTTTCTTTAAAATCACAGTATAAATGAGTCAATTAATTGACTCGGATTTAAAAGATGTTTTCTGTTGATAGTACTTCCAAGTACATTGTTAGCTCAATAAATGAAAGAGAGACGTTGCCAATCAGAGACATTCTCCTTTATTCAATAAAAGGAACGTATTCAAATATTTCTAAAGACGAAATAAAGAAAAATAAAGACATAATAAGCGTTAATATGGCCTATGTGCCCTGCTTCTTAGATAGGCTCTTAATCAAACAAGGCCACAATAAAATATGCTGTTACATTATCATGTTCAGTATTAGAAACAAGAATTTTCATGTACAAAACATGCTTCTGTTAGGGACATAATAATTTGTTCAAGAGCAGAAATACTTTGAATTCCCCGAGATCAACACAATTAAAATGACAATAATGGTCAACAATTACAAAGAACTTCACGCTGCACAAAAAGATTCTTCATATTTATGATCTTGACCATTACTAATGTATGTTCTCTAGAAAGTAGAACAATCAGGAAAAGGTGGGGAACCCGCAGCTGTGACTGAGTGTTTGGGACAACACATAAAACAAGGTGCTTTTCCTAATTTTCATATGATGCTTGGGGGAAAAAAATGCTCAAAACAGCAAAGCAAAATTGCTAAAGAACCACCACAGGCATCTCAGTGCCAGAGTGATGACCAGAATTCAGGTCTTGTTCGTTAGTAGCAGTTCGTGGCATCAACCTTTTCAAGTGGGTAAGGTTCTAGGGATCCTACTATAAAGAAAGCAGATGCTATCTTATTGAAACTAGCATAAATTTGGAGCTATTTTCTTTTATTTTTTTTATTTAGATGGATGCTTTCTTCGACAGGCAAAAATATCAATTTAAAGAAGACATGTGAACTGGTCTTTCCAAACTGGAACGAAGTTTTTAAATAAACCCAGCCACCAGTCTTCATCAGACTGGAAGGCCAGGGAGAAGAGGGAAGAAGGAATCATCATGAAGCTGTGGACTCAAATCTCTTATTCTTTCTGAGTTGGAAAAACTTCAAAAATAATATAATTTTTATAAGCTTTAGTAAGGAGAAAAATATACTGCAGTTAAAAAATGGTAATAAATTCCACAGAGAGTTTGCAGCTACACTGCATATATGTTCAATGTATACCTTAAAGGTAACCAGCTTTGGCAAGGTGGCTCATGCCTGTAATCCCAGCACTTTGGGAGGCAGAGGCAGGTGGATCACCTGAGGTCAAGAGTTCAAGAATAGCCTGGCCAATGTGGTGAAACCCCATCTCTACTAAAAATACAAAAATTAGCTGGGCATGGTAACGCATGCCTGTAATCCCAGCTACTCAGGAGCCTGAGGCAGGAGAATTGCTTAAACCCGGGAGGTGGGGGTTGCAGTGAGCCAAGATCATGCAATTGCACTCTAGCCTGGGTGACAAAGAGTGAAACTCCATCTCATAAAGAAAAGGTAACCAGCTTAAGTCCAGTGAGGGTGACTACTTGGCGGAACTGCTGCTGCATGTACTATTTGTTACCGTCGGAGAAAAGCATTGCTGTGATGGGGTTCAAAGTGTTTAGAAAAATTATAATCGTTTCCAATATCAACTCATACCAGTCATTTTACCAAAATTTTACCCTACATAATTTAAATAATCAATGTAAAAATGAAATGACTATTAACTTACAACTTTTCAGAGGTTTTTTGTTTTTTTCTGTGCAGTTTAATCATGAATTAAATCCAGGTATTATGATACCACAATTAGTGACTTAGAAAAGCATTTGAATCTGCTAGTCTACTTCTTAATTTATGTATTCTTGAAAGTATACAACATTTCAAGAGATACATGGAAAAATCAACAAATTTTAAGATGATCAATTTACATATTCTTAACTTTCACACATATTCTTACTAAAAATGACTTTTTCCCACGTCCCATTTTGAAACTGACCTGTTATCAAATTGCTGTTGATACAAAGGGGAAATATAAAATACTGGTATTAATGAGGGCTAATAAAGGTTTCTGAAACTTTCCTAAAATATTAAAGGTGAACTTCAGTAAATTCTCAACTGATAGCTCATTAAAATAATTTTTGGTGTCAGAATAACCTGTACTTTTTGGCATCTTAGCTCAGGTAGAATTAAGAGAAATTGTGATAATAAAACTTTATTGATGGAAGCAATTCTTACAGCTTCCTTAAAAAATAAGAGGGACAAGTTGTAATAAGATTGATGCTGAATCTGAGAGCCAAATTTCTCACTGTCACAAAGAAAGTTCCTAAGATGAAAATAAGATGGCTAGAGGGCATTCTGTGGTATTAGACTGGGGGTATCAATAGGTATCGTAGAGAGAGAAAGAGACAGAGAGAATGAATGGACATAGAGATTTATGTATAAACTCGCTTCTGAAGAAGTCAGTGAGAAAGTAGGGGGAGAGTCCCATGGAGAAACCTGCAGACATGACCTTCATAGGGCAGAAGGTTAACAGGCTTAGTGATGAAGCACATGCCTGCTGACAGGATGCACTGAGGACACATCTGTACGTGAACTCATTGTCACAAACATGACCTTATATAATCATGAGGAAACACCAAACAAATCCAAAGTAAAGAATATCCTAAAAAACAATAGGTGTATACGCTTTAAAAATACCCAGGTCATGAGAGACAATACTAAGGAATCGTTCCAGATGAAAGGAGACTAAAGAGGTCTGCAGATGAGATAACAGTACAGTACTTGCGATGGGTTAGATCGTGGCCCCCCTAAAATTCATGTATTAAAGCCTAACCCCTAGCACCTCAGAATGCAGCTGTATTTAGAGATAGGGCCTTTAAAGAGGTAACTAAGGTAAGAGGAGATTTAAAGTGTGGGTCCTAATCTAATATGACTAGTGTCTTCACAGGAAAAGTCTAGGACACAGGCATTTACACAGAGACAACAGCAACCATGTGAGGACACAGTGAGAAGGCAGCCATCTGCAAACCAAGGAAAGAGGCTTCAGGAGAAACCCACCTTGATCTTGGACTTCCAGCCTCCAAAACTGTGAGAAAATAATTTCCTGTTGCTTAAGCCACCTGGTCTGTGATGTTTATTACAGTAGCCCTAGCAAGCTAATACAGTACCAATGTTAATTTCTTGATTTTTACATTAGGCAGTGGAAAAATAAGATAATGTCCTTGTTTTTAGAAAATACAAACTGAACCATTTAGGAGTTGTGAGACACTATATCTGAAACATACTCTCATGGACATCAGAGAAAGACAGTATCTATGTAAGAGAGAGAGAGACAAAGAAAGTATGTCAAAGCAAAAATGGCCAATATTAACATTTGGGGAATATGGATAAAGGTATAAGGGATCTCTTTATATTACTTTTGCAACTTTTGCTTTTGTCTGAAATTATTTCAAAATAAAAAGTATAAAAAATTATGCTAAATCTAGTTTCATTTAACAACAAGAAAAATTCATGAACAGGTATATTAACTATTGTTGTTTTAGGCCATAGGTATCAAAGAAAAAAATTTTCAATATTTTTGTTTTTTATTTTTTGATGTTTATCAAAATGTTATAAGTTGTTTTGATCACATATATATTAATAATACATAATACCACAATCCAAAATGAATTTTAACACTTATTATACATGTTTTAGATATACCCATGTATTATCTTATAAACAGAAATTATCTTAGGGTAATTAATAAAATAAAGCATAAAATATATTCAACTTTTGTTGGATAATCAATACGTACTCAGAGAGTAAACATAACACTAAATTTTCTCATCCTAAGATCTTGCTATTGTGTTTTTAAATATAATATGTATCAAGCTTTTATAGTACTTAAATTCCATTGGCTACATTTAAAAATGATAACAGTCAATATTCAGAATAAACTAGAAATGACAATCTTTGTGACTTTTAAACTAAATAAGACAAGCATAAGCTGTCAACATTATTTATGAGAGACACATAGATACTAAAAATATTTGAAGCAAAAGTGTTTGACAGCATTCCTAGTTTATTTCTGAGGAGCTACGTAAGAGTAACTGTCCTCCAAAAGGTCACCAGGAATGCATAAGGAGAGAGGACGGGTGTTCTCTTACTAAATAGCATAAACTGAATTTAAAAAGTTTACCCTCAGTCACCAGAAGGTAAGTTTCACCAATGTTTGTCCCTAGGTATGTCTCCACTGTTCCTATGAGTTACATGGTTACTCCTATGGAATACAGTCCTACTACCAAAAAAGCAGTTTCTAATTGATTAAGGGGGCAACTCCAATTTATGTTGATTTAGCTCTATGAAAAGGTCACCATACTAAAATTTTCCCTAACCTCAGAATTCTAGTAATATCATTAAAGGATTACTAGAGTTTACAGAATACTCTATGTTCAATTCATTTAAAATAAAACAATGTAAAAGAAAGACAATAAATTCTACTATTTTTAAATTGAGACTTGAGAATCCACACTGAGCTTCATTTTACCCTTCAGTGAACACGGTATAACTTTCATGAGGACTAATGAGTTAACACCTAGAATGCTTCTGACATGGACAACCTGATGCCTCACTTTTTGTCACAAACAAAACTTTCCTGGTGGGTGTCAAAACATGAGCTATGACTATACTTTCGTGTAAGGATCTCAAATGAATGCATTTGACAAACAGTCAAGATTTAGGTAGCATTTTCTTTCTTCATTTCCGTAGATACCATTAAATATAAGCCTGATGCTTGGACATTTTACCTTGACAGGTAAAATGTCTTCGTTTTTCTTCTTAACAAATTCCCACCTTGAAATAAATGCAAACTGTTAGAAGACTGTTCTTTTTCCTTGCAAGGAATTTTATGACATTTTCTAAAACATGCACAATCAGGAATCACTCACTTTTCCTGGTTTGTAAAGGAAATATAAACAAAACAAACAAAAAAAGCCCCTTAAGCTGCTTTATGAAAAAGTTTTCAAATTAATATGGAGTAGTAAAAATATGGTATTTAATAGATAGTACTTACATTAGCACAGTGTAAGGCTAAAGCACAAAAGACGGCAAACATTTTGAAGTTGTTTTCATCAGTTTTAGAGAAGGCACTGCCACTGATTTTATTGACCATCTGCACCACACCTATCACGCTGCCTCGGCTGACGATGGGCATGCACAGGATGTTCCGCGTGGTGTAGCCTGTGTACAAGTCTACTTCTCTGTGGGGTGACACAACCGAATATAACAACAAAAAAAAGGCAGAAGAAATAAAGGACACAGTCAATCATAACTCTCCCTTCAGTCTTTGCAATTTACATATGCTTCTATTCCATATGACGGTAATGGCACTTTTAGCTTCTGCATTCAGGGACGGTAACATTCCACAGAGTTTTATTAAAACCTTCCCCAAAATATTCTAACCGTTGGTTCTTTTGTCTCCAAGCGAGTTTTCTAGGATAGTCTCTAAGAGGATTTCAGCCTATCATTTGAAGTATCCAGCATTACTAAGTAAACAGGAAAAAAAATGTGGATTCAGAGGACAAATTCAATTAAAGTTGATAAAATAACATGATCCTTTGAAGTTGATCATGTTTATGAGAGAGGTAACTTGCTAAACCAACTTACAGAGTTTCCACTTTAAAAACTTAGAGCAGTGGTCAGCAAACTGCACCCAGGGGCCAAATCAGCCCTCTCCCCTTTGTAAGTAAAGTTGTATTGGAACACAGTCACACCATTCATTCATAGATTGTCTGATTCTGCCATCACCCCACAAGGCTGAGTTGTGGATTTGTGACAAGGACATTAGTGCCTACAAACGCAAATATACTCACCATCTGATACTTAATAGAAAAAGTCTGCTGACTCCTATTGTGAGGCAATGTTTTCAGAAAACGGGACTAAGCTGCATAGTAACAGTGATATAGCTAACAGTTGGTAGTTACATGGGAGTCTTCAGTGCCTGGCTTCTCTCATTTAGCATAATGGTTTTTGAGACTCATCCATGTTGTTGCATGTCTTAGTGGTTAAGTCCTTTTCATTGCTGAGTTACATCTCTATTGAACGGACATATCGTATTTTGTTCATTCATTCACCAATTATTGGACAATATTATTTTAATAGCCAGTTTTGGCAAATATAAATAATGCTGCTTTGAAGATTTGCATACAAGTCCCTGTAGCACCATATGTTTTCATTTTTCTTGTAGTAAACAGAAGTGGAGCTGATTAGTGGACTGTACAGTAAGTGTATATTTAACTTTTCAAGAGAGTGCAAACCTGTTTTCCCAAGCGGATGTACCATTATATATTCCCACCAACAATGTACGAGGGTACTCGTTTCTCCACATCCTGGCCAATCTTTGCTAATGCCAATGTTTTAAAGTCACAGCCATTCTAGCTGGTGTACAGCGAGGTCTCATGTCAATTACATTTATATTGCCCTCACTTTGAGCATTTTTCATGTGTTTAGTGATCAGTTGTATATCTCTTTTTGTGGACTGTCTGTTACAATCATCTGCCCTTTGTATTAAATTGGGTTATCTTCTCATTGGTATGTTGGAAGAGTTTTTATATATAAGTATTTTGTCAGATATGTTTTACGAACATTTTCTCCTAATCTGGTGCTTGCATTTCCATTTTCTGAACAGTCTGACTCATACATTTTTACATAAAGATTTGACATAAGGATATGCAAATATATTTAATTTTTAAGTACTAAATGATGAGCTTGGACTTTTGGAAAAAAATAAACTTTCAGTGTACCTTTAATTTATTGACAGTATATATTACTAGAATATTGCTGTGTTTTTATATGAGTTGTGTATATTTGACATCAATTGATCAAATACCTGAATAAACTTCCTATTGCTTATGTTATTTATCTCTTAAAGTAAACCACGTGTTGGGATTAACTAAACACTGCTGTCAAACTACGTAAATATTACTCTTAACAGTCATAGCATCAATCCTGAGACTTTCCATTTCTAGAGGTTTATTAAAATCAGATTACATAACTGGGTTTGCAACTCTCCAAAGAAAGTCAGAACAAAACAAAAAATCTTTATAAGCCATCCTAATACCCATCTTCAATAATATCCAATAAAAGATGCAACTTAAGTTACTTTGGGTCGGGTAAATTTTCCAGACCTTTTACGAATATTATCTGTGATCTTAAAACAACAGCAACAAAATTGGATTATCATACTCATCTTAAAGAGGAGGAAACTGAGGCTCAGAGAGATTAAGTAACTTATGGTAGGTCAACTGAGAGCTAATAAATGACACAACAGTGCTTCAAAGCTAGACTTACTCATCTCAAAAGCATGCAAATTTCTTACTATGTGTTGCAGCCTTTGAGCATATGATTTGATGGAGAATATGTTCGTTACAAAATCATGACACTGTAATGAAAAAAAAAGTCCCACAGTAGCTCTATAAATTAGAACTTCCGCCTATCGGTTATTTTTATAACATTCTAAACTCCTCTATCTAGATATCATTATACATTAGTGGATTAGAATCCATCATTTTATAAATATCTGAATATACTGACTATTGATAGCAGAGTCGTTTCAAAGAAGAAAACTAAGGAAGAAAGAACTAAATCGGGACATGGAGAACTCAGGCTCCATGGAAGAAGTTTCAGCTGAGTGGGACATCACAGAAGAAATCAATGGAGTGTCAAAATCAGCTATTTCTTACCTGTTAAAGCGTGGGTCTGCATAGGCATCTGGAATGTTCAGGACTTCCCCTGTTCTTGCTACCTGGCCAGCAATTCCTTTCTCAATTGAAAATCTGCATATGTAAAAGAGAAGGACATGCTAATTAAAATATGGATGCTGTAGAATAATTCAAAAAGATTCCATTGTTAACAATATTGAATTAAAAGCACTGTTTTACTTAAATGCATGTACTCATTTTATATTTACATATTCTGAAAATCACCTTATAAAATATGTAAACATAAAGCAGGGAAACATTACACAGTAACCACCTGAGAACCTTAAAATATTAATTCACAAATTGAGATCAAACAATCAGCTAGTATCTTCCTGCTCTGAACAATAATAATCTCTTCTATTTGCGAAGTACCTTATAATTTACAAGATGCTTCAACATAAATTTTTTTAGTGGATTCTCAATGAAGTGTGAACGAAGGCTTATATGGGTTCAGCAATTTGCCAACATTCATAAAATATCAGTGGCACAAGGCAAACTAGAATGCTGGTCTCTATCATTGTGCTTTCTACCACACATATAACCAAACTCACAGGTTATGCGTGAGCCTGAGATATTATACAGAACTGAATTTTATGGTGTTTGCAATGCAGGTACTATACAGAAATAACACAATGTACAACTTCTAGTATTTTTACCTAATTTGTTAAATTTTAAAATAATCGAAATACAAGGATTGTCTATTTTTTGTATCTAATATCAGTATTTTTCCTTTGTAAAAATATTTTCATACTTATATGTTTCTCATTATTATACTATCATCACACATGCACTCATTTCAAAATTTCCTTAAGAAAGATGTCTACAAGTCACATTATCTACTTTTTACATAGTTCAAAAATCACTTCCATGTTATTACATTGTCCACATTATAGGAAATCACCATTACTGAAATAAAGCTAGAGGACTATCAGAAAAACTCGAAAGACAGTTCACACACAAGAGAATCTACTTAAAACCCTTAAGAATGAACCATACACTGCACACAACTCAGGGTTGTCTTTTTCCTGGTTTTCTTGGGCTTTGAACAACATAAACATAGTGAATTAGATTGCCATGAGCAAAGGGTATCAGAATCCATTTGATGATTTATGCTTGTTTGCGTTGGTCTGAGAGCAGTCTGAACTTTTGTTCCTGCTCTCTGTGGTTTGCTTTCTATGGTCAGTGGAAGCCACAATTAAGAAGCAGCCCTTACATAAATGGCTGCCATTAACCAGTCATCTGAGAGTTACAGTAAATCATACTCTGTTTTTCTTATGCTTATAAACACAGGCTTTAAAATCATTATTTTCAAAATTAAATCAATACCAGTAGTGTTAGGAAACACTCAAATCTCCAGCAAGAGAAATGACTTATCTAAATGACTATATCCAGATTGCTATACTGAGATCTAGCAACAATTAAAAAAACCAACAACAAACAGACAAAACAATTGCAAAACCCAAGTACCAATATAGTGCCTATAAATGAGAGTTACAGGAATATGGAATATACAGGAAGTGCTGAGAGGCAGACGGTGGTGGGGCCCCATGCTGGGGCCCACTTTGAGTTTCCTTGATACTAGTTTCCTTTTATGATAGACTGTCCAAATAAACAGCAATCCTTAATTAAGAAGACACAGTGCTTTACTAGAATGTTGTTATTACCAGAGAACTTTATGGCATTATACAGAAAATGAGTTAAATAAGACACATAAAGCAAAAGAAATGCAAATGTCTAAAATTATTTTCTCAGCTTCTGAATGTTAAGCTTGATTCTTAAACATTTTGTCAGAGTGCTCCTTCTGTAGGTTTCCAGGTGCGATATGAGCAAGCCCCCATGCCTCCATCAACAAAATAAACTCCATTCTGTTCATTTAAGCGACAAGGGTTGCCACTTAAAAAAACAAAGACTTTAGTTTCGAGATGCAACACAAGTGTGCTATATGATTGATTAAAACAACTGATCAGTCACAGAGTGTATTTAAGTCATCAAATATACCAGATCAATTTCTACTACTGTCTGGACTTTGAGACAGGCCATAGGTTGGGAAGAGGTAGAGGCCGAATTGGATAAGCACACCTTTCCTCTTGGACATGGGAAAACCTGCAGATTCCAGATGGAGTGTACCTTTACCTACCTGGGAGCACTAGAAAGTTTTTCCAACATGATTTCCAAAAGGACCGCCTCCGGAAGACGGCATTTCCAGGAGTGACGCTAAAGCTTCCTAGGCGCGGTTTCTCTGGCACTGACTGCAATGTCATTCCCAGAAGTACTACCTTCAGGAGGCGGGTCCTGGTGGGAATGATATCACAGTATGACAAGTATTGTCAGCATACCTGTGAATAGGCACAGAAAAATGGGTAACAGAACACCTGCACATCTACCATAAGAGGATAGGACATTCTACTTCTAGCTGTACCTTATCTCTTTGGTCTTCTTGAAGACGGGTTTTCCTTCCTTTTCCTCTCCAATATCAAAAAGGTCTGAATATAACTCCTTGTTCTTATGGTCTACCTGGAAAAGTGCACAACGGTCGGCATTCACCAGGTTTTTTGCATATATCTAAAGACAAATGACAAAATAAGAGTAAGGCAATGAGAAATTCAAAGAACTTGCAGGTAAACTTTATCATAAAGTAAGTATTAATTTCAGCTGTCCTACGCTCTAATTGGTTGGTATTAGCATTATAGGTAAGTAAATATACAAGTATATAAATATTACACATATATGATCTAAAAGTCATTGTTACATGCTAATACTAACAGATCCCAACAGAATACACAGCTGATACGCATCCATACCGCTGTGCTGGAGGGAAGCATATCAGTCATGTATTCTGATACCAACTGACACTTCTGTTTCAGTTGGTAAGCAGCTGCTGGCCTAACTTCCCAAGTGCCCTTCTGCCATCCCAGGCCCTCTTCCAGAATCTCTCAGGCCTTCCCTGGTGCCTGGATCTGAGCCTCTGTCAGCACTACGACCAGCATTCATTCTGATTAGTTGGTGTCTGTGATGCAGCAGTTGTAAAAACTATGAAATATAACCTCTAAGGAGATACATGGTTTTCATATTTGCATTAGCTGACTTTCATTTGATGTACTGTCTAATAAAAATTTGTACAGATTATTAAGTGTTTACTATGTGCCAGCCACATTTATATAATTTATATAAATTGGTTTGCCTGCTCCTCACAATAACAATATTAACTCAGGAAAATTTTTTTCCCCACTTTACATATTAGGAAAATTGAGGCACTAAGAAGTAACTTGCCCCATTATTACATGAATAGTAAATGGTAGTAGTATTTGAACTGATACTAGCTGTTCTCATGGCCCATGCTTTTATAACAAATATGCTTTTCCATTTCTAAATGGAAACCATGTATTCATTTCATCACTCATTTGTGCTGCCATTTCCTTCAACAAATATTTCTTCAATGCCTAACATATCCTACTGTCCTGAGTGGGTTGCGGCTACAGCTATGTCATTAATACAGTATTTACCTATACCGAGAATTTTGGTAACTTCAACTATCCAGATCATAGTCATGAAATTATTCCTCGGAGAAAAATAATTCATCCTTAGCATAAAACAGCCACCACAAAGTCTTTGCAAGAGGAACCTTGCAGTCAGGGGAAAATACAGCATCTCATATAAAAAGTATTGATTTAATAAAAATAAGTCTAAGTTAGGAAACTGTCTTCATCCTACGATTACACTATTACACCTTTGTGTTCACTGCTCCTATAGAACTGTATTTATACACCCGACAAATACTGGCTGTGCCCACTCTGCAGGGACTGAGTATACTGCCTAGTATCAGGACCTCTAGGTTACTCCTCACCTCCCTTAGCCTGTCAACTATATAAACAGCAGAAACCACTTCTCTTTTCTCACAGTATTCCAAATGCCAAGAAGAAGGCTGAGTTAGGGCCAGCTAAATTTTGTGGTCCAAACCCAGCCCCCTGCCTGTTAATATAAATAACATTTTTATTGGGACATAGCCCCATTCATTAATTTCTGTACTTTTTATGGCTGCTACGACAGCAGAGTTGAGTAGCCGCAAGAGAGTATGGCCCACAAAGCATACCAACTTACTATCTGGCCCTTTACAAAAAAAGTTTGCCAACCAACCCCTGGCTTAGAACATATAAGATCTCTATAACCCAAAACTCTCAATACATATTTGAGGAAAAATGAATCACACAAAGGCAGGACAAGAGTGATGGAGCTGAGTCATTGGCAAATACAGAAGAATCACTCATCTAATTCACACACCCCTGAGATTTTAAATCATTAAGTAACAAGAATGACCCTGCATTATTAAAGATTAAATTATGCTCAGTGAAATTTGTATCTGTAGTGTCTGGGGTAATGTCAGTTGCTTAATAAATATTTTGGCATAAATACGTTAATATTTGTTGAAAATCTGGATCAAATGGACAATGTTTCAGAAAATAAGCTTAGAAGGTGTTGAAAAATGTAAATCAAACCAGAATCATAAAGATAATTCAAAAACTATCAAAAAATTACCAAAAAAGACACTAGCCTCAAATGGCTTCAAATACGAGTTCTTTAAAAATCGTCAACAAATTCCCATACAATTTATACTGATCTACATTCAGAAAAGAACAATTTTTTCCAGTTGTTTTTACAACGTACGCCATATCACTGATACTGAAAACTAACAAAGAAACTATAAAAAAGAAAATCATGGACAGATTTACTTTTGAAACAGAAGAAAAGTTATAAATAAAAATGCAACCAAATCAAATTTAGCAATAATTAAACAAATATGACAATATTGAAAACATAGTTTATTCTGAACTCTCCAGTAGCATAAAGTCTATTATAATTCATAATAGCAATAAGACCAAGGAGAAAAATCTGCAAGATTATCTTCCTGGTAGTCAAAAAGCGTGTGATGAGCCTTCGTGCAGTGGTTCATGCCTGTAATCCCAGCACTTTGGGAGACTGAGGTGGACAGATCTGTTGAGCCCAGGAGTTTGAGACCAGCCTGGGCAACATTACGAGACCCCGTCTCTACAAAAAATATAAAAATTAATCGGGCATGGCGGCATGCATCTGAAGTCCCAGCTACTCAGGAGGCTGAGGTAGGAGGATTTCATAAGCCCAGGAGGCAGAGGCTGCAGTGAGCTATGACTGTGCCACCGTACTCCAGCCTGAGTGACAGAGCAAGACCCCGTCGCAAAAACAAAAGCATGTGATGCCATTCAGCAAAATCATTAATGATAAAAACTTTAGTAAAATGCAATAAAAGAATATATAGAAAACGTTAATAATCCTTTCCTCAAAACAACAGTCCTTATTATACCAAATGGTAAAATAACAGAATCACTGCCTTAAGATACTAAAGTTAAGAACAAGACAAAGATATGTTATCACAATCATTAGCATGCTAGTAGGCAAGAGGAAGATGTGAGGTATACATACTTGAAGAGATAAAAGTTTTTATTGTTTAAGGATAATGTTATTTCATATGTCAAAAAAATCAACAGACAAACAATTATAGGCATTAAGAAGGCTTCTGTGGCCGGGTGCAGAGGCTCACGCTGTAATCCCAGCACTTCGGGAGGCCAAGGCCCTTGGGCTGCTTGAGCTCAGGAGTTTGAGACCAGCCTGGGCAACATGGCAAAAACCTGTCTCTACTAAAAATACAAAAATTAGCTGTGCATGGTGGCATGCGTCTGTTGTCCCAGCTACTTTTGGAAGGCTGAGGTAGGAGGATGGCTTGAGCTGGGGAGGTGGAGGTTGCAGTGAGCAGAGATCGTGCCACTGCATTCCAACCAAGGTGACAGAGACAGACCCTGTCTAAAAAAGGAAAAAGAAGCTTCTGTTTTAAGATGAGCATTTCTAAACATATGTTTACCTTTTCACTCTCCCCAAATATTAAGGTTTAACATTGAAATGACCCTCAGATGCTGAAAAGGAGTTAAAAATATCTAGACATATTTTGGCAATATTTATAAACTCCAAGCATCAGAAGGTCAATCTAAAAGCCACCTCTACTCCCCCACTACACACACGTATACACACATATGCATACATTTACCTGTAAGTGGAACAACACTCTTTAGAACAACAGTAGATTTTAAATTCAGATTTTAAATTAAAGTCTTCAAATTTCTAAGGAAAACTTACTTTAAGTCTAAATTTCTTTACCAAGTCAAACTAGCATAAAGGCAATATAAAGATATTTAAGAAGGGTACAGTACTCAGAAATGTACTATCTGTGAACTATTTTAGAAAAGGAGATGGGCTCAAGCAAAAATAAAGAAATAGAAAAATAAGTTCAAAGACACTGGGAAGACTCGGGGTCCAAGAAAAAGTGAGGAGCAAATAAATCATTAAAACTATACTGCAACTGTAACACTTGTTAGTAAATGATATCTAAGAAATTATAGGCATCATGAAAAATTAATTTAAGAAACATGAAATATATACAAATATGTATACATCTAAAACTATGTAAGGGTAGCGGATAAGAAGAGTAAAAAATAAGGAAACAAATGTGCTTCATTTATTATCTTGTTGGTGAAGTGAGTGATATGATATCAACACTGATTATTTATTGATTTTGATATAAAACTTCATTTTAAATGTAAGATGACAGCTGTCAGGACTATTGCTGCCATCATGTAAAGAGAAACTGCCTGAGAATAAGGACTACACAGAAGTAAGTTGAACTGAGAAACAGCGAAAGATATATTCCTGAAAAGATTATTTGAGCCCCCATGTCCACTAATTATGTAAGCCTGAACATTCAATGGCTTTTCAGCAGTCTGAGCCAGTAAATCCTCTCTTTCATCACCTACACTAATTTAAGTAGTTGATGTTTTCAGATAAGAAAGGAAATATAAAGTACCTACACATTTATAAAAATTGATTTGAAGATCTAATTCATTGATTCCCAACTAGCAGCTGAGCCGCCTGGCTGCGGGGCATCTGGAAATAAGTGCAGGCACGTTTGTTGGTTACGAATTCTCACAAGCTAAAGATGCTGCAGGTCTGCAGTGCCCAGGATGACACTGTGCCAGAGGGAACTGCTCTGCCCAAATCAGCATCGCCCCATTGAGAAGCACTGACCTAGATGAACTGATCACCTAGGAATTTAAGAATTACCCAGATTTGGTCAGGCATGGTGGCTCACACCTGTAATCCCAGCACTTTGGGAGGCCAAGGTGGGTGGATCACAAGGTCAAGAGATTAAGACCATCTTGGCCAACACGGTGAAACCCCATCTCTACTAAAAATACAAAAAGTAGGCAGGCGTGGTGGTGTGTGCCTGTAGTACCAGCTACTCGGGAGGCTGAGGCAGGAGAATTGCTTGAACCTGGGAGACAGAGGTAGCAGTGAGCCGAGATCGTGCCACTGCATTCCACCCTAGTGACAGAGCGAGACCATGTCTCAGGAAAAAAAAAAAAAATTACCCAGATTTGCTTGTCTGAAAATAATAAATCTTCTATATTATCAAAAAGTTCCTCAAAAAAGTCTAACCTCATTCCCCACTTGTTTCCTCTATTCCAGGGTTATCTTTTCAA